CATATGGCGGGCCTGTTGGTCTAGTGGTTAGTGACCCTGACTGCTAAACCGGAGGTCGTAGGTTCGATTCCCGCCCAGGACAGATATTGTATGATAAACACGACCATTTTTTCTGTGTCTGTCTATAATTTGTCTTTATTACTATTAATTGTCTATTATTACTAATTTAGTATGTATTTAGAAATATTTTAGTATGTTTATCAGCAGATTGGTTACCATAATGCAGGCTCTGCCTAGTTTGGGACCGGATTGCCGCGTGTGAGATGTGTGAAGTTATTATTATTATACATACAGACACACCCAGAAACAGAACAAACGATCGTGCTCATCACATAATTTTGGTCCTGGGTGGGAATCGAACCCAAAGCTCTTAATAAATATCGATTCGACCTCTGACTTAACAGTCGCGATCGTTAACCACTAGACTTACAAGTCTAGGTCGCTAGGCGCTAATGCTAATGCTAAAATTGATGTCATTAATGAAAAATGCCATTGTTGTCTCGAGAGCACATTATTTAAACTCAGCGCAAAATACCAGGCCGATTACGCTGTTACATTCTAAATTTCTTTACCTTGTTTTCATTTCAGCGAACAGCGTTGGAATTTTATCTTAGATAGAAGACACTGGATTATTTAGTAACGCTATACAAACATATTTCATTGTGTGTGACAGCGTGTGGAGCAATATATGTTACATTATTAAATATTTATTATATTGATAATATTGCATAACAGCGAAGCGTGGACGGTGAAATCGGCGCTGGGGAGAAGTATGGCACCAGAGCACAGGCCCGTTGTCCACTGGTATGCGACACAAGGACAAGTAACACAACACAAGTTGTCAACGTTTCGAACTTTTTTCGAAATGTCTTAATAATGATAGAGAATAAGAATCAAATGATCATAAAAAAATCGTCTATACTATATGCAATATGTATTTGCTAAATAAGGTAAATTTTATCAAAATTGATTATTATTTATCGTTAACGTAATAAATCGATGGATTTTCAAACTCGAGGGACAGTTTTATTATTCCCGCCCTACTATTTTATCTTAACTACTTCTCGGCGGGATGTAGACAACTATTAATAACATTAATTGGATCGTACACGCAAGCAAATATCAGCTTCTGATTAATAATCTTTATGAGGATCTTTGTGAGGCGAGTACATATATCAAGTTTTCGGTCCTTCTGGTGTGAATTATTGACTCACGGACGCGACTGTTCAGAGTAATTTTAGTGTTGTCAGCGCACCGATATTTCATGATCATACAACACTTACACGTAATTAGGTAAAAATTTATATGGACCGATGAAGGTCGTGGATAAAAATAACCGTTTTCTACCATGTCAATTATTCATTTACATGATGCGTTTTCGAATAGTAATCGTCCCTTTCTTATTTACGAAAGAAATTGTACTGGTAATTGGTGAACATTTTAAAAATGAAAAGATATGAAAGAAAGAATTTTAACAAAAGTAAAATTGTCTATTCAGTTTCCTTTTAATTACTTTCAGGGCTTTTATTTTAGTGGTTGTTACCTACCTACTAAGTATAATTATGAGGTAAATTTCGTTTCAACTGGACGTTCTTCGATTTATTAAAAGAAAATAGATGTCTAGGGATGGGACATGTTTAGTTTTTTATTGTCGCCAATAACCATGATTTAGAATTAAAGGCGGCCTGCGTTTATGCTTTTTTTTAGAAAATATCATTCATAACTTTCTAATAGATATCCAATTTTTTATTTTCTTTTTGTGATTTATTTATTACACGGGTTTTCCGTGTATATTGTGATTGCTAGGTAGACAATGAACAATGAATTCGCGTGCTAAAGTCTCTTTAATTAATCGTTCAAGGTCTGGTAAACAAAGTGTTGGGTAGTAATCAGTGACCCGATCTCTTGGTACATATTGGATTTTATATAACGACTGTCTGACTCTCCATGCGACTGTCTGAACTTCGCATTATCAGCTTTGTGATAAATACTGAAGGGGTTTTATGTTATAACGGTTCCCGATGTGTACCGTGACTTATTTACGGTTACAGTAATGTCTTTCTTTGAACTGAATGTTAATGTTATGTTATTATTCTGTTATATGATATTCAATCTCTCTGTTTAATTTAGTTATGTTTTTGAGGCGGTTATGATCTATATCTAGGGTTATGGAGTCTGAGCGCCCATTCTATTTAAACTAATAGCCAATTGATAAATTAGCATTGACATTCAACTTGGCAATACCATAACTGCCAGCCTTCTGGGAACGCTACCAGTAGTCGACGACGCAGAGGAGCATTTTGACGCATGCATAAAAATAGTAAACATGTTATAAGCGAATTTTATATATTATATTACAGCTTATCATTACTATCGTGGCTAAAAATTAATATTTAAAGAAATCGTAAATGTTTTTCAGTAATTGACTTGAAGTATTGCTACATGCACTGTAAGTAAGTGATCTTAATATAGCAAAATTGCGTGTTGTATTTGGTTGGTAGTATCTAATATATTTAAAAAAGCTAAAGCTTTTAAACTTTTCTGAACAGAATTTAATTCTAATATGTTTGTTGATCCTTTCAGTTGGACGCTTGTAATAGAACTATTTAACTCAGACCAGAGTACAAGATGGGTTTCGAACTCTAAATTTCTTAGCCATTATTGTACTTACATTACGACGACTTTTATACTACAAACGTACCTCGGTGTTTTAGTTTTATCATAGAACAATGAATTGCGAGGTGGTACTATAAAGTATAACGAAGTTCTCAGTTTAACGAACCATTCATAGTTTGAATACTCCAGTTACTAGCCACTACGTGATTGATGATATCTACTCGACCTTTTGAACTTGTGAATCGCACACCAACTTGCATTACTTACTTATTGTTATTTTTGAGTTATATAATACTACATAAATTTATTAAACAGTGTAACAATACAGCCACATTAGGTTTTTCATCGTTGCTAGTACGAAACCATTAAGATGTTTAGTAACACCGGTCTAAAGAGGTTAAACGATGTAGAGATATGAATCGTTTAATAGGCAAGTGTGAACAGAACAGTGTAGCCATTGTTGAAACCATTAGCAAACTAGTTTTGACACGCGAGTCGACTTACGAAATGTCCAGTTCACGACTAAGTAAATAAATAAATACTTATTTACAAAGTTACTCAAGCGGTTGATAAGTAATTTAATAAGAACGCTCTTAATTGAATATATGAAATAATATCGAGATGGAGGTCGCAGTGTTGTCTGATATTTTGTACTGTTGCAACTAATTAATCAGAATCATGATACTCGTAGATCCGTCCGTCGATCGAGCCGCCGCACGTTGCTTTGTTGCGGTGCAAGTAACCAATCTGTTATTATTGCAAAACGTAACAAAGGCAATAATTTTCATGCAAATGTGGTAATCTCGATACACTTGACTAATCGATTTACGATGTTATGCGATGATCCGAGCTTGTGAGTATGTATAAAACATTAATCTTTCGATCTAAGTGTCTTTACTACTTTATTGATGTTTTTAAGTATGTATAAATTATGCGTAAGATGAGTGCCAACGGGTGCCAAGGCATAAATGTGTGCTATCTGTGTATGTTTTTGAATTAAAGAGTGGTCTATTAGTAGTATGAAGCAGATTGCATAAATACGGTAAGGTGGCATGTTTGAGGAAGTTGTTCCCGAGTAACGATCAATTAATTTACGTTAAGTAGACATGCACCGCTTTTTTCAACGTCTCAACCTTCCTTAATGAGTAGAGAAATCCCTGCACGGAACTAACTTCTATGCAAATACATTTTCCTCTATTTTCGAAAGTATATGCTCTTATAAACATATTGTGAGATCGCTAATGAAGCCTGAAACGCGATTCATTGGATTTTACTTTTATGCATGCGGCTTGAGTGATTGTTCAGAACTGATGGATTTACTGGTATTGGGCTACGTTAGCTTGCTAGAGATATTAGTAGGGTATATTTTCAAATATTAACTAACTAGATTTTAGATGACAATATTATAAAAAAAAAGTGATAATTGTTCTCCCAAGACGTGGATATTCTAAAACAATCAAATAACTTCAGTTATGTTAATTGTAGATGAAACGTCCCAAAAAATCCAATTTTTCAATCAATTTAATACCTACTAAATGTATATTAACTGGACCGTAAAAACACATACCTACCTTTAAATAGCTTTCTTCGCCTTTCTTAAAAAAATAGCCTAAGATAAATACTTCAATAAACTTCTATTTAATGCCTTTAGTTGCTCTTTAATATCGAAGATCGACGAAGTGGAGAGTCCATGTGACATAAAGGAAACGGGGTAGCTGGCGCGTAGGCGGGGCGGATCCAATTATGTCTCAGCACGTACAAATTTATTGCAGCGAACGTCTGAGTCGCTCTCACCTTGACATGTCGCAGACGGCCTATTCTGGAACAGACTTTTCAAATTTCCAAACGTTTTCCTCTTAACTATAAGTGTCTGTTTACTTATAATAAATGAAAATTAATATATATTTTCTTGACGAGCAATACTGTGAATGCAGATAATTTTGTACCGGTATTGTTTCTTTTTGAAATATTGATTGTCAATATTGGCTTTGCTTCAACATTTGAATATGTGATCACATATTGTAATGTATAATGTATGGGCTCAGTACAAATTCCATTGTAAGCATACTCGATACTAGCTAGTTCGGATCGGCAGAGGTTGGAACGGAGGCTGCGCACGCGCTTTTGATCCAAGCACCGGCTAGAGTTGCCGGCAGTCGCGCGGGAAACTTCGCGGCGTTCGGTCGGGCAAATAGTCCGTGTGAGTTTCTTAATAATATTCCTCGATCATATTTACGATAAGTCACATCGATCGTTCCGATATTGGCGTGTGCCGTGAATATACCATAATAAACTGGTGTGATTACAACACGCTTTTACAATAATGTCCAGTTAAAATATTTATTAGTTGAAAAATTGTGAAAAATAAAGCTGCCCAAATGAAGATGACTGTGAATCGTATAAGGGTGGTGGTGCTAGGGAGTCCACGGAGTGGCAAATCTGGTTAGTACCCTTATAATTTTATAGTTAAAACTTTTAGTATAAAATTATGAAAAGCTTTTCAGTACAATCTATTACAATTTTCATATTTCTTTGATACGGTTTATTAACATTTGTATAAAAACGTATAATAGGTATTAACTGTATGGATCATAATATTGTTCTATTTAAAATACCTATCGAAGTAAAACATCAACCATTCACTGATATGATATCAGTTATTTGTTCAAAACCCAAATTTGTATGTGCAAATTAAAGTTAATCTTCGAAAAAAGGTTTTATTTCACAAAACATTTGAATATAATGTTTTGAGTGGTTTAACTCATAAACTGAGCATTTTATAACAAACTTATATTTGTTATTAAGTTCAATAATAATATAAGGCATCCGTTATTAAAGTCAAGGGAGCGCGATTTTAGGTGCGAACCCTGTAATTTGTGTGTCCAAAAGAAGTTCTTGTCAGTTATTTTACATCAGAGAACTCAGAACTGTGTAACGGGAAATAATTACAACTATTTAAACAGCATTATAACGTTTTATATTAATTAGTTTTTTTAAATAAATCTGTTTATTTTCTCTGCATGTAATCGTCTCTTACATTTTCACATTGATAAACTGATTCGATTTAATACAAAGCGGTTTAATGAATTTAGATGAGTTTAAGTGTAGAAATATATTAGTAATGATAATAAATATTTTTTAAGCTTAGTTTATAATAACGTTCAAGGATTATTCATTTAGCTATGAATAATCCTATTTCTTTAATTTAAATAATAAACAAGTGTAAATAATTTCTTCTTTTTCTGTCTTTGTAAACTGTGTGTTTATTGGCCTCGTTAATTTTTATTTTATTTTATATCGGAATGTAACAAATACATTTCAGACGGACAACAGTCTTAAGTCCTTTGCATATATTTTTTTTAGTATGAGCAGTGAACAGTAATCGTTTAGCACTATGGAAACTTGGATGACTATTTCCAGTTGTTTAAAAAAAACGCAACGAGTTATTTTACCTTAATTCTAAAACGTTCGTAAATAAAGTTAGAATTACATAATATATGGTAGTTTTCGATAAATTAACATTTTCATATTGTACCTACCTACTTAAGATGTCTATGGCCTCCTCAATGATAAGAGCGTTTGATTTCACTGCGGAAATACTTTTATTTTCCCTAGGAAAGCTATTAACATAACAAGTTATGATATTATATGCAGTAGATAAATACACTTATTGGAAACGATTGACTTGATGGAAACGTATTTGATAGAAATGAACTCATCATTCAGTCTATCCTATAAAGATAGCTGTGTATCATAGAGTAGGAATGTCCTTGTAATAAGTCAACGAAATGAATTCTTTAGAAAAGATAACAGTTAGGTACATGGAATCGATAAAGTATTTTTCTATGGATAGTGAAATTAGATTTTCTTGTATGTATTATTAAAATTAAAGTTTAATCTTAAGTTTATACTGCATTACAATTCATATTGCAATAGTCAAAATATTTAGGTTCAAGTTTTAAAACTAAATGACTGATTTTTTCATACCGTCACACATTTCATTACCGTATAAAAATAAAGTAGTAAAACTTAAGTAGGTATTGGTAATATGTATGTACATTCTCGTGTATCTAAATACATGTTGAGTTATGTGAAATATGTTTATGTGAATATATATTTTGAATAAGTCTATCTAGATTTATTCAAAATATAACCTATACCTACTTAAGGTATATTACCTATAGCTACTTAAGTTATATGTAGGTATCTACCTATTTACAAAAAATAAGACGTTACTTAAATCCTTAATTATGTATTTTTTAACAAATATTGCGCATAGTAAGTTAAGACATTTGAATGTCTTATAATTATAAGTGAAGAAGAAGTGTAGCTATTTTTTTAGTAAATATGTGTTAGAGTTAAAATATTATGAATCAAAGGCAACACGAAGCTACAGATGTCCGATATATATATTGATCTGTTTTGGTAAAATAGTCTATACAATGACACTGAAATGAGTTCAAATTACACTGACGAATAAAAATAAAACAAAAATTCGAAATACTCGAAATTCGACCGCCCATTGATATCTGTAACGAGGTAAAGCTTGGAATTTGTGCCGCACTACCTGTCGCACATTGCGTGCGATATACGATCATTGAGTGCTTGCTTATGAAACTGTAAAAATTGTTATTCCTAGCCTCATGCGTTCTCCTGCTAATATCCTTGTAAAGACCTTCACCTGGAACTAGAGACTAACTAATAATACGGCCTTGAACGAGTTTAGAATGTGTAAGTAGAATCGAAAATTAAAAAATGCGTATACTGTCTATTTATTTACTGATGGGAAACTCAATTGTTATTTTTACCTTAGATATGATTAAGAACTTATTTATTAATATTAGTATTTTGAATTATAAGTAGATATATTATTTAACTAATCTTGTTTAATACTTTGTATTTTAGTTAACATTGAGTTACCTATACTTTAAATGTCTTTTTACGTTTAAATGTCGAAATATTTTTTCGAAATGAATAATATTTAAAAAACCCTATTGGATAGCTAAGTGCCATCAAGATCGAGAGTGTGTCATTGAGGGTTGCGTACCGTATACCCTGAATAACCAAAAGATATTCGTTGAAGGTTATACAGGTATACGCTTCGACCGTGACAAATCCCTATGATGAGGTGTAGACTATGTATGAGGACATTAGTAGATACCATACATAGGTTTAAAATTCCGCGATATCCACCCCTCGCCATTCTGGCCGACATGGACGCGATGGTCTATGACCGAGTTCGCTGTGTCGGTCAGAATGGTGAAGAGGCCGCGCCGGATCATGAGCCCAGAATGCTGCGGCGAAACGCGCATACGCAGGCTCTGCGGGCCTGCCAGGCACGGCTCGAAATCGAGGGTTGTGCTCGAAGGAGGTGGCGAAGGTGACGCTGCAGAGGTCGCTAGCTTTTTAATCGCCGCCTAAGGGTCGCTGCGGCCACATCTTGGGCCCATGTCACCGTTGCAAACGACCCGAGACAGATGACATTCCGGTGCGGCCGGGGGGGTGTCTTCCAGGTGTGGACTCCAGAAGCCGTCGATTCGTTCCTGGAGCTCCTCCGGACTGCCGAAGTAGGCCGCCGCAGGGTTTAGTTGGTACACTAGTTCTCCGGGAGTCCAACACACGCCCTGCGTTTCCCCAAGGGAGGGTATGGTCCGAAAATAATACCCGGGGAAAAAAAATGGTTTAAAACTAAAGGCCTTGCTTCCTTTAGTTATAAACCTTTTTTTTTATGATACTGCACTCTTCAGACGATGCGTCCAAATACCGACTGCTCAATAGGCAGATCTCAAAGTCTCAGAGAAGAGACCTACGCCAATTCATTACCACATGTATTCAAGAGGCTATAGAAGGAAACGAAGGCACTGAAGTTTTCGCGAGAGCTATGTTTGTTGCGAAAATTAAGACACTTCAGTATTCAGGAATATGGCGAACGATCTAGGGTACACCGCACGTCTCGGATTGGAAAACAGTATTAAGATTGCATTATCCCGAACAGGCTGTTCTATGATTTTAAATAAAACAAATTCATAGACATCCTTCCAGCATTTAAGTGCCAGCGTAAAGATGTTCCTATTGACCGGCACATATTCCTTATCTCAAACAGTTCCTCCAAATTTGCCAAAGTTCTACGCAGAAATTCCATAACTTGTAATTCGATGCGCATACGAACTCTAGTAACAAAAAGTGAGATAAAGTAGTCAAATTGATATACTATAATAATATATATGAAATATATATATATATATATATTTATAATTTCCATACCTTCGAATTGATCGACAAATGTTTTTGTAGGTTTCTAAGCACTCTAGGAGTCTAGGCGTGTGGCTCTCTAAATGTTTAAGGGTAAACTAAGACTGCATTCCCTTTAATATTAAGTTTGTGACCCTTGACTTGCACTGAATGCACCTCTGACACAATTATGTATCCAAAATTTCAAGATGGATCGGTGGAGTAGTAGGGCATAAAATTGGAACGTATATATTATTTTCCTTGGTTAAGTATCATGTTGAAAACGGCGCCAAGTTCTGCGAAAATAAATAGCTTTCCATTCGAACATACCGTAGCACGACACGTGGCACGACGATGGATTTTCTCTATGTCAATAAATATAACGTTATCTTATATATTAGTTTAATACACTGTTTAGTACAGAGTAAACAGTTCCCGGTATTTATTTGCTCACAACTCAGCAGTCTAGGAAAACCTTATCTTTTATTTCATTGCAAAACATTCAACTTTACTTATAATATACACACCTTACCTATATGTTATTTCTTAGTTTCGTTATATTTGTTTATACCTAGTAATGTAAATGTAAGTAATGTTTTTTAATAAAAATGCAATTTTCATAAATTGTGGTAATAATTTTCTTTTATTTATTACACCATGACGTTTATGTTGCCATAAAACTGTGTAATTTCTTTATGATTGGGTTTTATGGAATAATTAATATCAACATTCATATTTGTTACTATTCATCTGTTAAACACTAATCTGCTGAGCAGAAGAAAGAGATGTTTTGTTTTAATACAGCGTTTTAAGAGATTTATATAGAGTGCTATAAAAACAATATCACTAAATATTGTCTACGATTTAGACGAATTTTCAAGATATTTTATTTGAATGCAATATGTATGTGTGAACGCGTGTGTGTGCAATAGGAATTTGGGTATTTTACATCAACGGGTCCCCCCCTATCTTAAAATTGACTTTTATGTTTTTTGGCGTTCTGAATCCATTACAATCTAATTATTTGCCTGGTTTTCATCATTTCTCGAATAAGGCCGCAAATATGTCCCTTGCGGTAATTCAATATACCTAATCCATAATAATATTACAAGACACAAAAGCGAAAGACATTTTGTTATAGTATAAATGTCATTGATCTTGTTGAGTTCCAGTTATGATAGAATTAATTTATGATTAATGATAACTGACATGTGATATACATAAATGTGCGTAGAGCAACGACCTCGACGCACCACGTTAATGGCTGATCAGACGTTTAAAAGTTACACAACGTCGTCTGGTGGCGCCAGGCGTCGCAGCCGTCGGGAAATCGCGCCGCTGACCCACCGGCCGACTCGCCGTCGACTGGTTGTAATTGCACCGCCCTAATTGTCGGCCGGCTGACGGCTGACGGACCGGCTGAGATCGCTCCAACACGCATGCGTTTGCAATTCATTACGGACGGGAGCGAGCCCGCCCGACATGCGAAATTGTTTTCGAAGTAGATCCTGTCTACGAACGCTTTAGTAGGAGTGGCTCTCGTCCGTCACGGATATGCTGTCGACGTCGTTTAATGCCCTAGGCAATATTATCTACTCATTAAATCTACAAAGTACTGACATTCTTACTTCTTCATTGACGCTTTTTAAATTCTCAGTTAGACAGTCCCACACATATACCTACTTAAGTGCATTTTTGTGCGGGACTGCACGGATGTCGTAGTGGTTTAAGCGGTCGCCACGCCGCTTCCTATTACGCCAAGTGTTGTGGGTTCAAACCCCACATGGGACAACACTTTGTGTGAACCACAAATTGTTGTTCTAAGTCTAGGTATACTTTGTGTCCGTTTCATGTATGTTTGTAAAGTCCCCCGCGACACAGGATTTATTCCTACTGCGGGAGTTGTCTTTAAAAAAAAAGATGAAAAAAAAGAAGATTGACTATGCGTAGTATATTATAGCCTATTCTTTCTATGTATTCTTTCTCCATTCTTTTATTTTCTTATTACATTATGATAAAATGGTAATTAATACACAAATCCCTTGCTCGTTGATGATACGATTAAAATATAATATTATTTTGATATTATTAATATTTACTACAATTAAATAAAACTCATATTCATATCTGTCCATTAAAGTTTATACTTTGTTCTTAACACTACACTAGCATCGAGGGTAATTATTAGTTTAATTAAATGAAAAAGTAATCTATAAAAAATCTTGAATGTGATATTGTGTGAATTTTGATAATAATGTAAAATTAAACATCATGCAATTGTTATTTCATTGCAAAACATTCAACTTTACTTATAACTATTACTTTACAACCTTAAAACCTACTTATAACCTACTTTACAATAGCTTCATGTAAATCTCTGAAACAAAATAAGTGAATGGACAGAGTATAGATCATTTTTTAATTTTTGTCGTCAACAGCAACTATTCCTGTACCATGTGGTTGCAAGGTATCGCTATGAACACTTTTTAATACCAGTAAGTAAATAAACTCTCAAAATCATACACAGAGACAGAGTACAAAGTAACTACTCGTTAACGCACTTTTTGTCACAAACGTGTACATTTTAAATGGATTGTGCTCGAGAGCAATGAACTTTAATTTGGAAAGGAGCCATATTTTTTTGAGTCAAGTTTTGAAAGATTACTGTTATAATGCTGTGTATTTTTTTTGTCGGGAATGTCGTGAAGGCGTTAAGATGCGATGTTAACATACACGCGGATACTGACGTGAGCTTTAATTGTCGGTTTAAGGTGCAAAGTGTTGACATGTGAAGCGAATCCACTGTTTCGTGCGACGACCTTCAAACCGCATGATGAATGAGCTTTGTCAATGTATTGAAGCGTCGTTGTCCTCACAATTCTCGTCCTGACAGATTCACTTGTAACGTGTCCATAAGATTAAGCTTTTACATGACATTTGACACAGGTTTTTTGAGAGATGGCTTTTATTGGCATCTCATTTCATGTGAAGTTACGAAATTGAGATACCGACCTATTTATATTTTTCTGATATACTTTTACAAAAATATATTTTTAATAATATACAGATATTGTAACATTATTGCCTAGCTAGGAAACGCGTAGCGGAGTCCGTGGTGAGTCTGTTCGACATAATGATGGATGTTCTCCATGACCTATTAATTACCCCAGAGATTCCTGTCGATAGCTACATCCATTGTTCCCGTAGTCTATATTCAATCGATCTACCCACGTGGTGCCGTGTTGTTTGATCACAGTGATTTGTCTTATATGCTTCGATGATTGTAATTTGACGTCATTTTTTATGAGGATCTCGTCATAGAGCGCCCGTTAATCATGTTTAGGCCGTCTTCTATAGCCGCATATAAAGTTTAATATAAATTAATGGTAGGTGGTGTCGAAATAATCCTTCATTTTCGTTGCGTTCGATAAATGTATCGCGAGAGAGTTAGTATTTTATATTAAAATTGTGTCATAAATGTTAAATATATTCTAGAACTGTTATGTTTAGAATCTTAAGAATTTAATAAGTCTAACACGAAAGTAATATCGAATCAATGTAAGAAATTTTGATTTTAATTGAATTCCGCATATTTTTGTTATAAGTGGAGCGAGAAACTTTATCACTACGATTATGCACGTAATCGGATCGCAGAGAAAGTAATGCATTTAATACTCATTGCACATTGGGGAAAAAATCGAAAGGAAAAATGAGAGTGAGGAATTTCGATCGTGTTTCATAAACTACGATACAATGTGTCATGTTGTAATTTTGTATCAACGCTTGAAAAAGTTTTATAACAGCTGCTTTATTGACAACTCGGTAGGATATCGACGAATGGTCGTCAATCAAATTTCGGAGATACCGATCTTCTTTCTCAACTATAGATATTATCACAATGTACTTATATATAAATAAGTTTATTGTAAACGAAGGTTTGCTGGCTTTTTTGCTTTGCTGCAATGATCTAGTGCTGTCGATATTTTTTTAATTATAGGGTTATTTTTTAAATATACCTGAGTTGTTTATCTAATCAGTAACTAAATCCAGCGCCATCTGAATATTTTCTTCCGAACTACTTTATTACTACGATCCTGGATCACAATATGGATGTTCTTAAGTCGACTAAATTATACAGATAGTAATCAGAATACATATTGTATGTGACACCTACTGTAAGTGTACACGATTCTACGTTTTACTAGTCAGCTAGATATAGGTAGATCTAGCGTTCCCAGGAGTTCTTCAATAGGGCTACTTTATTAGTGGTTTTACTTTTCTTTATATCTTGCATAATCTTTTTGCATAATCCCAATCATACAAATACAACAAACAGACTCCACCCCCAGCCTGTTGTTTTAAAATGCAGCCCTTAGACATTTAGTTGCATTATCTTTAATAATATTATTATAATATAAATAAAATAGAATAACTGTCGTGTGCAATAGAACATTTGTTTCGATATATCTTGCTTGAAATGGCTCGGTATTGTAGGCAATAGATTTCCTATCCTAACCTTAACCGTCTGCGCCAGAACGCGTACGGAATGCATTCCAAGTCCATTGTCATGCGACAACCTGGTGCAGTTGCATAAAAGCTTTGTGGATGCTTGTGTAACTGCCTTGGGTCAAGACTCTGACGTAAATAGCAACTTCGATAACTCATTCGCCAGTATTATCCAGCGATGTTGTAAACGATTCTTGTAACGGAATGTTAATTAGAATATTAATAAAAAAGACAATGCTCGAAGTGTTCTTCTGTTCGATTTTTATTTTATGGGTTGAATTGTATTGTTTTATGCGCTAAGATCTTTTAAGTATATAGTATTTTAAAAACTTAATTGAAAAGCTCGAAGTTGTGTACTGCTATATGGCAATCTGATCCTCAAAAACAATAAGCCATTCCTCTGTTAGATCATTCGGTACTCTAACAAGTATTCTTACATTCATAAAACCTTTTACCACTGAATCCATATACATTACGAACCTTGAACCTAAAACCCTATACATAACTTATATTATATAGACCATTAACTATTGAATGAACTATTCAAGTGAACAACATAAAGTTCGCTTAAGGTACATTAAGGTACGTGTTGAGCATTCAAATTACACGTTTCCATCATAGGAATAACATAAATGGCTCTAAAGATTCTACTTGAAAGGCCTACACTACGAACGTAATATCACGTCGATGTGGACAAGTAATCACCGTTTGAATAGCGCCACTAGCTCCTTTTGATGGCCCACAGGATTCTCCACACTTCATTTCGTCGGTAGCTTACAAGTATACCAACCGACTTCTATTGACAAACCTGCAACATCATTGTCGTTGATAACTGTTTATGTACCCATCCCTTTAATGAGAATTCCAGGAGTGAAAGGACTAATCAATATTTGATTCGCTGCTAGAAAGTTGGGAGTGACGACCTCTTAATTGCGCTCTTATTTACGTATGTCTTCAAGAAGCCGTGTCGGTAATAATGGTATTCATTTGATATTCTATTTGTTGCAGCGGTGGTCGTGCGTTATCTAACCAAGCGGTACATCGGAGAATATAGCTCGACAGGAGGTTAGTATAATGAATGATTGCTTTCATTTTTTTACTTTGGATGTTGTCCCTGCAATGCTAAGGTCCCTTTTGTCAAGTCTTACCCACTCGCTTTAGTACGAATTAAGGTCAAACAGTAATAAATTAAGTTTTGTATTGCGTATGAAACGCTTATCATATTCATTAAACTATTGAATTGACATTCTCATGACGTCAGTTGCGTAAAGTTGATGAAAATTTCAATTGAGTCTGGCATTTAGTGCATTATGCATTTAAATTAAAATGTCTGCTTCCTTCCGACCTTAAACTGTGACGTGTTTGCGTCAGTCTGACGCCGTATTTCTCGGGAGGCAAATTAAAATGTTAAGGAAACAGCTCTCAATGCTCGATGTCATAGTAAACGGTGTTGTTATCGAATGACGACAGCAATATCTGTACCAAAGCGACCGTTATGTACAAGTATCTCACAGTTCTATACCACGCACTCTTGTTGCAGATTTCCTTTATCAACACAGAGTGGCTTTCGACGGTGCCGTTTCAGAAGTTGAAATACTAGATACATCTAATTGCGCGGTAAGTTACCACTCGAATACAATATTGCTTTTAGCGTTAGCTCTAAGATATCAGTCACCATTAACAAAAGGCTCGATAAGATTAAAACTCGATGCTTGAATAGCAAACGAAGAGATAGACCGCCAAACTTAATTTACCATTAAACAATGGAGATGTTAATCTGCGGCGGGCTATGCTGGTAGCGGCTGATGGCCGCAGTACAATTTAATTAGATGAAGTTTATGTGCCTTGTATCGGCTTATCAGATGCAATCGTTGGCGTTGCTGCATTGGTGTGCCTTCGGGCGAAAACCTACGTCCGAACCTACGCCCGGTAGAAAACATCCAACATTTCGTGTTACGTAATTATTATGTTTTCATTATTGTTATGTAGGCACTCCATGATTCTTGAACACGTTTTCTTCTAAACAACGATGATGCTTTATTAAATGCATCGATGACGGAACTAAAAGAACAAAACAGATTGGATGTTCGTATTGAGCAACCGGCGATTTTATTCGGTGCAGCGACTGGCCCCGATACGAGATTCCGAGTAGGTACCAGTTGTGGCTGGCGACTTCATTATGTTGAAGTTCACTGACTTTATTTACAATTTAGCTATTTCAAGACTCTCGTGGTGAATATTTTAGTATAATTCGAATCATTGTCGCACAATAAGTAAAAACATGGAAATGTTAAACAGGTTAGGTTGGTATTCAACTTGTTGCATTAAGCAAACTAGGATTATACCCGAAAGAATCTGGGTTATTAGAGCTTAGGTAAATCAAAGTAATTTAAAGGGCAGGGTTAGAAATTCAAGCTGGTTTTCTAAACAGTAATTTTCCTCTAGAAATAGTTTCTAAAGTGAAATGGAGCTAAACAGAAATTTAGAAAATCATTAACCTTTTTTTCCAACTCATATAGTTAAGTAAAGTTAATAAAACATAAGGATGCTTTATTGTCATTGTATTATAAATAAAACCATTTGATCAGTCGATATTCTACATTAAACTCATAGCCAAAAAAGTGTCTTTTCAAATTATCCGTTTTGTGCAGATCCGCGGTTGCCTAGCAGAACACGTGCGATGGGGAGATGCATTTGCGGTGGTGTACTCAGTTTGCGAGAGGCGATCATTCCTTGCGGCTGCAGAACTGTTGTCACTGCTAGAACGCACTCGGCTGCCCGGCTGTGCGGCCGTCACCCTCTTAGGAAACAAGCGTGACCTCGAGCACGCCAGGTAAATACTTTTTTATTTGTTTAGGTTTTTGCAGGTCTAATATACTTGCAGCAGTCTTGACCACAGAAATGTATCAGTTCTGTGGTCTTCAATTCGCTTGAAGTGCAGTAATCGAATGTTTATTTCTTGTAACCCATATTGAGTAGGTACCTGTTTCTGCCATAATAAAAAAAGGCATAGGGACTCAAATGATTAAGAAGTAATTATTGAGAATGTAAATTTGCTTGTATTATTTTCAATAAATTAATTATCATTTTGGTTATAAGTCTTGTATAAAGTATTAGACTTTTATACTTAAAAGCTCAAGTAACAATACTTTTAAAAGTGGCCACCAATGTTTTGTTAATTAGTCGTTTGAATTTCAGCTGGCTGCAAGTTCAGTAAACTCAATTAATTAGCCTATTGTAGTCTACTGCTGGACATAGACCTTCGCCAAATGTATTGCTATGTAGTACTCGGTCAAGTTGCAAGTTCAGTGACCTCGCTTTAAGCAGTGATACCCACTTACTACAGTCAGATCTACTACAGTCAGATCAGTATAATTAGAATTTATATATTTTCCAATGGCTATTCAAAACATTTAACATTTTTCTTTACTAGATTTTGGCTGCGGCTTCGCCCGCCTGTAGGTCGGTTATCGCGATAAATAGCCTATATCCTTCCCCACAACTCAAACTATCTCCATACCACATTTCATCTAAATCGGTTCAGCGGTTAGTGATTCCCCATACGTTACGTACATTAAAGGATGATTTCTGAGATAATAGCTCTATTATGTCCTTTTCCGGGACTCAAACTATCTCTATACGAAATTTCATTTAAATCGGTTCAGCGGTTTAAGCGTGAAGAGGTCACAGACAGACAAACAAACACACTTTCTCATTTACAATATTAGTATGGATTTAATCTTTGTGCACAAATGTAACAAAGGCGGACATTTTCTACCAGTCGACCTTAGCGCGACGCGAAGCAGAACATTGTAAGAAAATAAAAATGTCACTTTTAAAAATATAGCATAAATTTAATAAAATATACCTAGAGTACTTATATAAATTACATTTGAATATTTTTTAATGGTAAATACAATTAGGAATAATAATACTAATACACATAATACATAATTATATACGTAATTATATACCTACATCTATAAATTTATACATTCATATAAAAATATTTGTATTGAGTAAGAATCGAATCCGCGACCTTGCAGTTAATACTAGATCGCTGCGTCAATTTAAGCTTCAGACGTATACGCCATGAATTATTTTTTTCTTTAAATCCTATCGTAATGACCATCCCAAGGCTATATAATGGAGATCGCTTCCAGCGATAAGACCGCCCATTGCTAGCCATGCCTACATTTGTATAAGATTATGTTGAAAAAGCGGTTTTGCTAGATTGTTTTACATTAAAAAGACAATGCAATAAACTATATTTATATGTAGTAGCATATACTTTTGTTATGCAAAGTAAAGAACTACAAATAAATCTTCCTGTCAAGCAATCTGTCATCTGTGGCGTTTATAGCAAAATCTTTCTTTGTATGGAAAATATACGGGATAATACAAGTAGGAACACAACGTCTGAACAAGTAACTGGTTAAGAGATCAGATTGACTGGCACTGCGTTGAGTGCTAAGGATTAGATTAGCGAAGATAAGAAAGCTTTGAATCTGTGCTTCGCCCGTTAATTGTATTTCTTAAGCTGCCCCTGACACAAGATCTTTGTCATGAGGCCAACGTGTAGAGATTGAACAACTTATTCAGCTTTATATTTTATTTAAATTTGGGTTTTAAATTTTAAATTTGAGGTTTCAAATTTAAGTATAATAATAATGAATAAATGTTTCATTTATTGTGTTTGTTGTATGTTTCGGTATTCCTGTAAATATGTATTTAAAAATTTTATGATTGCGCATTTGGAAGTCAAGTCTTCAAAGTGTTACAAATAAACTGATCTTAGCCTTTAAAATTTATGATGAAATGAGACCATATATTTTTTTATTTTAATTAGGGAGGTCCATGCAGAAGAGGGTCAGGAGCTGTCATTGAGATTTGGTTGTCAATTTTACGAGGTGTCGGCAGCAGAGTCGTGCGCGGGCGCCGCTCTGGCGTTCCACGCGTTATTGCGCGAGGCTCGCGCGCTTGCACTCCTATTGCCTGCGCCCAGGCGCAAACTTGCCGCATACTCTGTGTCTAAGGTAAGAGAACATAATCATTGGTTTTCATAAGATAACATCTAACAAGTCCATAGTTGGAACAACTTTATTGCTAAGTTGATACGTACCTTTATTATGCGATTGTTTTAACCAATTATATTGTGTAGGTAGACGTGCATCATAATTTATAATTCATTATCATCTCTATCAAAACCTATATTCCAGTAAAAAAATCCCGAACCTTAATAGCATGCCGATTAACTGGGGAAAAACCTTGAGCTGTTTCATTGGTGTAGAAATTTTTCTTTAAACGATGATTTTAAAGCCGAAACCTCCCTTCTAAGGAGAGGACAAATAAAGGGTGTTGATGATGATGGTGATTTTATATAGTTAACCTCTATCAGATCTAGACTGTGGACCTATTTATTAAAAATAAATATTTTGCTATGTATATGAAAAAGATGTGAGCCAATAGAAGTATCACAAAAAAAGTCTTGTTACATATTTTTAGTCTCGTTCACATTCACTCAGAGCGTGTAACGCACGACAAGGAATTTCGTTCCAAAAATTTTAACGGAGATCAACATTGGATAATGATTTTAGAATGATCGTCGGATTTTAAGTTTTAACTATCTACCAGTAAATTTAGTAGTCCTTTTTAACTGTATAGTTTTTATATTCTTGATTACTTCATATACCATTTTGTTTACAGGTCATTGGCACAATATTCGGCAAAAATAGCAAGAGCGTCAGAAAGAAACGACCATCACTAAGCATTTAAATTATTTTTATTTTAATACTTAAACACCCCTCAGACTGTTTGTATATAAATAATATTAAAATAACTTTATTTTTAAGGTAATCCTGTTATCCTACCTGCATATCATATGTAGGTTTTTCAAATTATAATTTGTAAATATTTGACGATGTTTTAATCATCATAGATATTGCGTATTGCGTTATTACTATAGCTATATATATATATACTTTAAAACATCAATATGATCTGTGTAAATAATTGTAGGTATTATTTGTAAATACGACGTTTTGTCAAGGTTAAGCCCTCGCACTAGAATTGTAACTTCAATACGTACTTTGTAAATATTTGATTGAAGAAGAAAGATTTATGTGCCTTTGCATAAGGACTAAAATTATCTCATTACAATAAATTTTTATATGAAATTTAAACTTGTGTTTTTGTTCTTTTGGAACCTGGAAATTGCGATTAACACTTTAGTACCTATCTTTTTCTTTTTTAAACTGACCCCTTTTTTCTGTAAAAAATAAGTAAAAGGATTTTGTTCATAATAATGTCATAAGTAAATACTACCTATTTCTAAAAGTCTTTTTAACATAATTATGGCACCAGTCGCCATATAATTGAAGTAACTTCACTGACGCGATGGTCGGTACATGTTTCCCACTAAATATAGTATAAAAACTCTAACAGTTTTCAAAAACTCAAAATCAATTTTGTTCTCTCATTTTCTTCTTAATTTCCCTAATATGTGTATTAATAGATAGATAGAAAGTAACAAGTATACTTAAATTGCTCCACGCGTGCCAAACAAGGGGCAGTCGTTACATCTAAGTCGATTGCGTTTGTTAGCGTTGGATGCCAATGAATGCAGACATTTGAAGCTTTCTTAGATCATAGTTAGCTCTAATCAGTTTCTGTTTTCACTTGCGAACTGTCTGAACGTCACAACGGTCAAGTCGAACAAACGTATACGTCGCCACGTCGTCGTACTAATTACGAGTGGTCAGTGTAGTCAACAGACGAAGAGAGTTTCAATAGCATTCAACCTTACACGTCGTGGTGTCAGACCACTATCACAACACGTCTGATCTTTAGATAAAGTGTAAAGCAGGAACGAATGTGACGTTGCAATACTGCGCTGTGTGTGAAAGCAACAAGTGCAAATCTCAAGGTCTTTAAGAAATTATGCATCACAATTCACAAAAAATTGTAATACAAAGTTTAGCTGACAGGCAGCTACTGAAGTGGAAATAATCAGATAGATCCACAAGCACTGATACGAAGATCAAGTTCAAGAGCACGCCGATGAATAAATATGTTACGACTTATACAGTAGACGATTTACAAACGAATGGCTATATACGCAGTCAACAATAATAGTTGAGCGCTGCCGTTATACATTGGGAAATAAAATGTTCTCTTAGCTGCTGCGCTATGGCAATAAATCGGGCACGTATAGAATACAGGTGTATCGGTCGATGCGGAGATATGACTTATAAATGGGATCCCTTGATCGCATTACTGGCGCCAACGTTCCGCTTGCCACACCGACCGAGCCGAGGGAAGCGATTTCTATCTGTTGCACCCTAGATTTCTTTATAGTGAGGTGCAAGTGGTGCAAAACAATCGTTAATATCGTAGCAAATAAAATAATATTAATACGATAGTACTAATTCATCAATGTCTACATTTCCAGAGAAATTAGTAAAGATCATAAACTTGTGCTAATGAAAAGCCTTGAGCAATCAATAAAACGAATACTTTAACGACCTAACCCATAAGTGATTATCATTCGATAAAATCATGATTAAGAAAGTGTTAAATTTTGTAAAGCTTTGTCGCTAATTCATTGCATGGGTCAAGAGCGACTGACCCTCGTATTCTATGCAATATTTAACGTCAATTAAATAATTTATTTATTCTGCGAACGACGAGCTAGGTGAAAGCTTTAGATATACTCGGACAAGATACTATGTAAAATTGCGATGATGTACACGATGCTATGATAACACGCCTCCAGCGGACAGCCAGTGACGTACAGACGACTATAGATAACCTGTTTTATAAAGCTGATCTATTAATATTTGCCGTACATGTTCATCATTCTAATCTAATCAGACTACCTGAAGCGTATTTAATTGAGCGTAATGATGGAATGAAATAAGTCAAGAAATTACAGTATTCACGACATACGGATGGGGCATTGCAGTGACAAGAATATGACATGTAAGTCGTGGAGTCCGTGCATCGAGAATCTTGATTTGGTAGATATAATACTATCGACCACTTTCATCTCTCGCTTTAGATTAAACGATTACTAGTTTCGTCTAATTGCTCGGATTTGTCTGGGATGGCATCGGTCATTGAGATTTATGCATGGCTGAGGATTGAACTGGTACGTGATTTGGATCTAAAGATAGATAGCCTTGTAAGTAAGATGATCTCCGATTTACTTTACTGTATAAGGATAAATAAATAGTAGCAACAAAGAACGTGTGTAACAAACCAAGAGCACATCTTTATGTTGGTAAAGATGCAACCATGACGACTTCACTTATGATAAAGTTTATTGCGGAATGTTTCAAAACTGTTTTCAAATAAAATATTATCGTATTTTAAAAAGTTTAAACAAGGTTGTCGGAAATGAACGTATGAGATTGTTTGTATATTGTCTTCATAAACTTGTATGTTATTTAGGAAGTTGTTTTATTGCAATTTCAACGAACGTCAAGGTTTTGAATTAAGAGAGTTTACGATGTCGTTTGTGGGCATGTAACCGCAGCAACCGCAACTCGTCCTTGCGCATTGAGTTTGCAAGTTTTAGTCATAGTATGCTTAATACAATTTAACATCCAACCTTTCTATGGTATGTTCTTCAACATTGCTTTAATCATGAAATATAGTATTATTACTTTAATACTGTAGTACAATAGTTGCTCTCATAGGTACATACTTTATTGTGCCATTAAACTCATTGAGTTAAAACAACACTAGAGAAGCAAACCTCATTATCACACGTCGAAAAAAGTGTAACCACTTTTGAACTTTGACGACGTAGCTTTGATACCACTAAACATTTGAAAGTAAACATATTTATGTCTCATTTACACGCGAGACAAGAACAATACCATCGCTCGGATTAGACAAAGACAAAGATATAACTTTACGATGGTGGGCCAGTGTTGACTACCGTATGAAATTTTACCCATAACAACTAAGAAACAATTTTTTTTTAAAACAATTTTGTAATAAAATAAATTAATTTAAATATTCTAAATAATATATTTCGAATTGAATAGAATAGGTATAAATAATAAAATAACTGGAAATATTTGGTTAAAAGGGTTTATATTCAGTGTAAAATCAAACTGCGCTGTGAAGCATCAGTTTTGTATACAATTGTCTTTTAGACTCTTTTTTTATAAGTTTGTGTGGATATTTTACTTTCATGATACACTCTTATTTTTACGTATGTAAAAATAATAGCATTTAATAATTAAAGTGAATGATCAACTTGTACTGATAATAAATAATCCCCAGGGTGTATTGCAAATTCTATTATAATTTAAAAAAAAAAACAAAAAAAAAAATATTTTTATTTTATAAAAAAAAATTATTTATGTTTATTTACTTTTTATTTTATATTTTTATTTTTATGATAAACATTTATTATTATTCTCTTTATTAAATTTTATATTTACATATTAATTACATTTTTAAATATATTACAAAAGAAATAAAAATACATTTAAAAATATAAAAAATAGTAGACCACCGACATCGGGTACAGGTACCAGGACACCAGTGGTTAGGACTGCAAAGATAGGAACCTCCTCACTATACGAGCCGTGTCAAGGAGGACTGCCTTCTGTATCTTATTATTATTATTATTTTGTACAATTATTATTTAAAATTGATAATAAATTAAGAAAAACAATGAATTAATTTTTTTGTACAAAAGTCTCCAGCACTGCGAGCTTGGCACTTCTGCCAAGCTCGCAGTGAACGTTCAACGGGTCCCTAAAAAAAGGGATCGGTCCAGCCCTAACAACTACCGTTCTTCCATTGTTGTGTTGTTCTTCTTATTATTGGCAAAATGTTTAAAAACAGTATAAAGCATATTATTTCATAAATTATAAATTCTCCCACTAATGTGGGAAAACCAAAATGATTTTTTAATGGTAACACTGATTCTAAATTACAATTATCAGTGTTTTATTTAAATTATAGCCTTATTTACGATATTATCAATACAAAAACCATAAACTTACACGTGAAAAGTAATTCCGCATGATTTATTAATGTTTTGTGACCTTGAATCGCATTCTTTCACCACGCATTTAGCCATTTTGGCGATTGTTACTGTCATGTGTCGCTATGTTCAACTCGGTTGACGCCACATTGAATAATGAATTGACGTTTGCTACGCATATGCCTGTGGACATATGTGCAGTAGCAACGATTTTAGGCGGTAATTACTCATCTATGTAAGTATTATATCAATGATTAAACTGTTTATTATAAAATAAAACTCCAAGTCTTTCATAAATGAGTTTTTGGTGTGGGTAAAATATTTCACCAAGAATATTGAAGACATCGCTTCTGTCTATATACATATTACTAAATGAAGTAGTAGTCTAGTCTGCAAACTACTGTTCATAAAGCAAATCATTATTGATCGGGTCTATCACTAATGTGCTTCTAGCACATATGAACTTTGAAATCATAATCCATTTATATGATTGTGAAGTTCAATCTAAACAAACACGTAATGGCTTCTGACAAAAGTAATACATAAATATTGCATGTGTTTCATAACAAGTAAAAAATAGTGATATTACATTGAATAATTGGACAACATAAAACCGGTGAGGCAAATGTATAGAGTTAAACACTTAATGGAGTCTAATGCTGATAATCAATGAGGCACCTGTCCACCAGCTGACGAATGAGAAGCCGTCGTTATGGACCTATCGGACTCATCGGAGAAAGTGAAATATTTTTTGAAGAGTTAGAACGAC